TCAAATGCTTGAGAAGTTGAGACTGTAGTTCTGCTAAGTGTTTGATTCTCATATCAAATGTCATACCATCAGTGAAATCGTTCATAACCACCAAAATTAACAATTAGCCCCTTCTTCCACCTTTATCATATTTTATTTTGTTAACAAATTATCTTGTTTTTTTACTCACTGATTCTGAATCTCTCTCTGTTTAAATGTGTATTCTGTGACAGCAGTCCTCAACCTTTGTTGCACTGGGGACCAGTTTTGTGGAAGTCAGTTTTTCCACAGACAGGAACAGAATGGGGGATGGTTTTGGGGTGAAACTCTTCCACTTCAGATCAGATCATCAGGCATTAGATTCTCATGAGGAGCATACAACCTCGATTCCTCGCATGCGCAGTTCATAATAGGGTTTGCCTTCCTATGAGAATCTAATGCCACCACTGATCTGACAGGAGGTGGAGCTCAGGTGGTAATGCGAGCAATGGGGAGTGGCTCTGAATACAGATGAAGCTTCGCTCATTCAGCTGCCACTCACCTCTTGCTATGTAGCCCAGTTCCTAACAGGCTTCAAAATGGGGGATGGGGCCCCTGGTTCTATGTGAGCAGAATCCATGTATCTTTTTGTACCACTGAATCCCAAGCATTTACTGTTGGTACATTTTTCTGTAAGGGAATCCATGTCTTTTGTTGGCTTTTAAAATGGCCACCTAAAAAAATTTTAGAGTAATTTTGTCAAAATCAGATACAAACAGTTGAGATTTTGAATCTGTGAAGGATAATGGCATTCTTTGTATTTTGTCTTCCTATCCAAAAACATGCTAGTTAGTATTTCTTCATTTATTCAAGATTTCTTTTATGCCAAATAGTTAACTTTAGTAATTTTCTTTATATAGGCCATAAACATTTATTATTAATTTAATTTCTTGGTATTTTTAAGTCTACTAATGGATCTACTAATGAGCTTTCTCAAAGGAAGGAAGGGAGGGAAGAAGAAGGGAAATTGGAAAAGGATATACAGAATATTTTTATTAGTCTAGGTAAAGGTTAACCTGCCTCTGGTAATCTCATTTTTTTAAGTTCTTTAAGCATATAGATAATTAGGAAAATAAATTGGCCGGGTGCGGTGGCTCGTGCCTGTAATCCCAGCACTTTGGGAGACTGAGGTGGGTGGATTGCCTGAGGTCAGGATTTCAAGCCCAGCTTGACCAATATAGTGAAACCCCATCTCTACTAGAAATACAAAAGTTGGCTGGGCATGGTGGCATGCTCCTGTAGTCCCAGCTATTCAGGAGGCTGAGACAGGAGAATTTCTTGAACCTGGGAGAATAGCTTGAACCCGGGAGGCAGAGGTTGCAGTGAGCCGAGATTGCACCACTGCACTCCAGCCTAGGTGACAGAGCAAGACTCCGTCTCCAAACAAAGTCAGAAAAAGTTGCTATGAAAATGTGTTATAATTTTATTTGATAAGTACTGCAAAATACATTATTAGAAAACTTAACCTTGGAATCTTTTTTAAGTATTACTCTTTTGTGGTTTTTGTCATCTTTTACAGACTTGAATGTTGTTCTAGGACAGAATATTATCATACTTTATTTTAGTGAAGCATAACTATATCAAATAACATTTCAGAACTATACATTGCACAATCTTGTACATTTTCTTGTAAGAAGGCATTAAAGAAATTTTATTTTTGTGAAAGTATAATTCTTAAGTAACAGTGACTGTTTTTTATGGGTTAGCTCCAGACCACATTTGCCTACTTCCCATGATCTTGTTTTTCTGATGTCCCAAGCTTTAAGTGTAGAGGTCAGAATGACATTTTAGGGCTCTAGGTTTGAATCTCATAATCTTAAAATGGATATTATTCAGTTTATCAAAAAGACCAGTTCTATTTTTTTTTTTCCAGATTAAAAATAAATTAGGCCGGGCATAGTGGCTTATGTCTATAATCCCAACACTTTGGAAGGCCAGGGTGGGTGGATCACTTGAGCCCAGGAATTTAAGAACAGACTGGGCAATAGAGTGAGACCCTGCCTCTACTACAAATTTTAAAAATTAGCTGAGTATGCTGGCACGCACCTGTGGTTCCAGCTACTTGGGAGGCTGAGGTAAGAGGATCGCTTGCCCAGGTAGTTTAGGCTGCAGTGAGCTATGATCATGCCATTGCTCTCCAGTCTGGGCGACATAATGAGATTCTGTCTCAAAAGAAAATAAAAAAAACCAGTTTTACCAAAAATAGTGCAAATAATTTTCATTTACCTTTAATTCACATTCCCAAATGTTAAAATTTTACCACATTTGCTTTACTATTGTCTCTTTTTTTTTGAAATGGTTGAGAATAAGTTTATAGACATGATACCCCATTACTAACTACTGCATGGTATATTTCTTAAAAATAAGGATATTTATTAAAATCAGGAAATTAACATTAATAAAAACTATTTTAAGTAAAAAATGCCTTTTTTCCCCTCCAAGTCAGGGATCTGATACCAAAATCATGTTACATATAGTTGTCTTCTTTCATCTTTTTAAATCTGGAATGGTCCCTCAGTCTTTCTTTGTCTTTTATGGCCTTCAAAATTTGGAGAATACAGAACAGTTTTTTGTTTATTTGTAGAATGTCCCTCAATTTTGGTTTGTTTGATTTTTGGGGGATTAGATTTTGGCTATGCTGTGATCATATCAGGAGACACATGACATCTGCTTGCTTCGTGACTGATGATAATGTTAACTGTGATCCCTTGTTTAAAGTGCTGGTGGTATGCATTTTTCAAGAATATAGTTCTTGTATTTTCTTAAGTTTTTGCTCTCTTTTGGTGGATGGAGTCCTAGAATCCTTTCCAAGACTCAATAGAAACATCTCTTTAAATATAAGCCTACTTTAAAAGATTTTTAACTACTCTGTTTTGGAGATTAACAGCTTCTTAAGACTTTCTCTATTTTAGAGGGATTTTGTTGTGTCTAATAATCTGTCTCCCACTCTAGGTTGTAAGCTCCTTAAGGGTAGGAATTGTGTATACATCATTCCCCACGCTGTCTTCAATGCCCAGCACTGTTCCCACATGCAGTAGATAGTAGTTACTGCTTGACTGATTGGTTGTTTGATAGGCTAGTGGGTTGAATGGATGAATGGATTGTTCATTTGTGGAAATTTGCCCATGTCAAATCTTCTAACTTACTAGTTTTGAGTTCAACATACTTAAAAAATTACCTATCACCCTCTTGGTATTAATACTTTGATATAGTTTTGATGTAGTTCTTTAGACATGATTCTCAAGGACTAATAATAGCTAAGGCATATCACATGATATGTTCACTATTTTGTTGATTTGCCTTGTCAGATTGATTTTACATTCTCTTCTCTCTAGCTTGCTATTTTTAAATGGCCTGAAATGTGGCATCAGTGAAATTACTCTGACAATAATAGTGATAATTCTTATTGGTCCTCTTATTACTTTATTTTTTATAATATCACTTTAAAATCTTGGAGCAGTTTAAAACTTTTTACTTCTATGTTGTTCGCTTATGGGTTTGAGGCTTAGAGAGGTCATACACCCACTATTATAAAGCTGCCAATGGGTGAGCGGGATTTAGATTTCTAAGTCTTGTCTTTCTTTAAAAAATTTTATTTTTGCAAGCACTTTTCCAAAGGATTTCTAAGTTTTCTGACTTGCAATTCAGTGTTCTCTCTACCATAATCTCTTCCATATTGTAGTAGTATTATTGCCTACTTGCCAGGAACATATTCATAATACCGTGAAGAAAAAGTATTTTGTATCACTTTGTTCTACCAAGGCATATTTTATGTGGTTCACTAATGACAGCCTCATATTTTGAGACTTTTCTCCCAGTGAGTATGCCTTTTTCTCCACCAAATAGACTTTTTAAAGAGCAGTTTTAGGTTCACAACAAAAGTGATCAGAAAGAATAGAGTTCCCATATTATTCCCTGGCCTCCAACCTCCCCCGCTATCAACATCCTGTGCCAGAGTGACATATTTGTTATAGTTGATGAACCTGCATTGACACATAATCATCCAAACTACATAGTTTACATTAGGGTTCACTCTTGCTGTTGTATATTCTTTGGTTTTCGATAAATGTATGTATCCACCATCATAGTATTAGTAGAGTAGCTTCACTGCCCTAAAAATCCTCTATGCTTTGTGTATTCATCTATCCCTCCCCTCTAACTCCTGGCAACCCCTAATCTTTTTGCTGTCTCCATAGTTTTTCCTTTTCCAGAATGTCATATAAATGGAATCACACAATATGTAGCCTTTTGCAGATTGGTGGCTTTCACTTAGTAATTTAGGTTCCTCCATGTCTTTTCATGACTTGATAGCTCATTTTTTTAGCCCTAAATAATAATCCATCGTCTAGATGTACCACCGTTTATTTATTTATTCATCTACTAAAGGACACCTTGGTTGTTTTCAAGTGTGGGCAATTCTGAATAAAGCTGCCATAAACACCTGTGTGCAGATTTTTGTGTGGATATAAGTTTTCAACTCTTTTGGATAAATTCTAAAGAGCACAGTTTCTGGATTGTATGGTAAGAGTATATTTAGTTTTATAAGAAGGTGCCGAACTGCCTTCCAAAGTAGCTATACCATTTTGCATCTCCACCAGCAGTGAATGAGAGTTCCTGCTGCTCCACATCCTCGCCTGCATTTGGTGTAATCCATGCTCTGGATTTGGGCCATTCAAATAGTCTGTGGTGGTGTCTCATTGTTTGAATTTGCATTTTCCTCGTGATGTATGATGTTAAACATCTCTTCATATGCTTATTTGCCATCTGTATATCTTCTTTGATGAAGTGTCTGTTTAGATCTTTTGCCCATTTTTTATTCTGATTGTTCATTTTCTTTTTTATCTTTTCATTCTGACAGTTTGTTTTCTCGGGCACCATCTAGTGAAGATACACAGAAAGCTTTGAGGACATAAAGAATGATTTATTTTTTCAAAGGAAAACTCCTCTCTTTCTGTTTCTCTCCTTTTACCTTTGTCTTTCAGTTATACCTGCCGCCACTTGCGGAGATATGTTTATGTGTTGGACAAACTGTATTTCCCCCACTCTCACTGTTCTACGCTTCAGCATTGCTTCTCGACCCTCAGTGACAATGGAGAGGAACTCTTGTCTTTAACTTGCTCTCACATTCTCAGATCCTATGCTTCCAGGTTATTAACCTCTGCTGTCCATTTACTGCATGCTGCATGTTGTATATGACTGATAATTGCATGTTTTAATAAGACATGTGTCAATTAAATTATTAAAGAGAACATTTATATTTGAGATGGTACTAAATAATTTTTTTAAGTAATAGCTGGATTTTGTTTCCTTACACATGTCTTCTTAAGTAATTTATATTATGTTTCATGGAAGAGAGGAAAGCGTTCAACCACGGAATTGTCCGTATAAACTTGCCAGAACTTTTTTTTTTTTTTTTTTTTTTTTTGAGACGGAGCCTGGCTCTGTCACCCAGGCTGGAGTGCAGTGGTGCAATCTCAGCTCACTGCAAGCTCCGCCTCCTGGGTTCACACAATTCTCCTGCCTCAGCCTCCCAAGTACCTGGGACTACGGGCATCCACCACTACGCCCAGCTAATTTTTTGTATTTTTAGTAGAGACGGGGTTTCACCGTGTTAGCCAGGATGGTCTCAATCTCCTGATCTTGTGATATGCCCTTCTCGGCCTCCCAAAGTGCTGGGATTACAGGCGTGAGCCACCGCGTCTGGCCTAAACTTGCCAGAACTATTCTATACCTCATTGCATTTGGGAATCTTTTGATTTAATTTATAGCAGTTGGAGTGCTCTGATTTTTATATGAAATAGACTCTACAGTTACTATGACCTTTGAGTTCTCCTTCATGCAAGCACACCTGAGAGCTAGCTGTAGGATTTCACCTATGTTCTGATAGAAGTGCATTCAGTTGAGCAGATTGATTTTACAGGAAGGCAGAAATTATACTATTGGGGTTTCGTATTTTTTACTCATTTTATTTACATACAGAGTGGCTATAAAATCATATAAAATCAGCAGGTTGCAGTGTGTCATGGATGAATGTAAATTAAACATAATGATGGTGGGTGGAGGAAGAAAGAGACAAGCTGTCAATCTCGAATATCAGAGAAAATCAACACCTGCTGTTTTGTGTGTATCATGCACCAAAATAGAGGGCAGTATGACATTACCACTTTGTGCTTTGCAGTTAACATTTTTAACACACTTTTTTTTTTTCTAAATAAGAGATGACTTATACCAGCTCTATACTGTTAGCTAGATATGATGATTTAAGGCAATATCTTCACTGCCAGATGATTTAGATGAAGAAGGAGAAAATTCCATGACAACCTTAACCAGAAATTAGCAAACATTTAGAATTTAAAATAGACCTTTTCAGATGATGAAACATATAAAACTTCAGACTATACATAATATCTAAGTGAAAACACTTGATTGCTAGGAAAGGAAAGCAGTCTGGTGTGTAAATTAACAGAGACTTTTCTTAGTAGCAGAAAGATTTTACAGACTCATGATGATGTTGATCAGCCTCTTATCAAGTCAGTGTGGATACTTTTGAGAAATAAAAAGCTCAGGGATAGAAAAACAGGTGAAAATAATAGAATTAACTCTTAAGTATGTAATGTTAGAAGAATTTATCAAATTTAGCATACTAAACCCAGTGACTTTCCACTGGCTTATGTAAAGTGAGGGAATATCAGGTAAGTTGCATGATATTCTTAGGAATTGGAGACAGTGTGTGTCTGGTTTCGAGGAATGAGGAGAACTGCTGCTGATCATTGAACTTCTGAAATGTGCAGCATAATTGACCTCTCTTCTCTTCTCTTTTCTTTTCTTTCTTTCCTTCCTTCTTTCCTTCCTTCCTTCCTTCCTTCCTTCCTTCTTTCCTTCCTACCTTCCTTTCTACCTTCCTTCTTCCTTCCTTCTTTCTTTCTTTTCTTTCTTTCGTCTTGCTCTGTCACCCGCCCAGGCTAGGCTTCAGTGACTCAATCTCAGCTCACTGCAACCTCTGCCTCCCTGGTTCAAGCAATTCTCCCACCTCAGCCTCCTGAGTAGCTGGGATTACAGGTGTGCACCGCCATGCCTGGCTAATTCTTATATTTTTAGTAGAGTTGGGGTTTCACCATGTTGGCCAGGCTAGTCTCGAACTCCTGACCTCAAGTGATCTGCACTCCTCGGCCTCCAAAGTGTTGGGATTACAGGCATGAGCCACTACACCCGGTCGACCTTACTCTTATTTACTAGTGTATCATCAGGACTCTCCACAAAACCAATAGGAGATTTTATATGTAAGTGGAGAGAGAGAGACAGAGACAGAGCTATTTTGGGAATTGGCTTTGGCGATTGTAGGGGCTTGCAAGTCTGAAATCTGTAGGGCAGGTTGGCAGCCTGGAAATTCAGGTAAGCCTTGATGTTGCAGTCTCAAATCCTAAATGCACAGGGCAGGCCATCAGACAAGTGACTCAGGCAGGATTTTTATGCTGTGGTCGTCAGACAGAATTCCTTCTTCCTCGGGAAACCTGTCCCTTTAATAGCTTCAACTGATTGGGTGAGTCCCATTCACGTTATAAAAGGTACTCTGCTTTCCTTAAAGTCAGTGGATCATAAATGCTAATCACATCTGCAAATACCTTCACAGCAACATCTAAACTAGTGTTTGACCAAACAACTGGGCACAATAGTTTAGCCCGGTTTACACATAAGATTCATTATCACACTATGCTTCTCCTCTGTGTTCTTTGTTACCACATATCTATTCCATGTGTTTTTCTTTGTGTGTATCCTATCCTGTCATAGGTATCCTTTGGTTTTGTGGAAACTATAAGCCTTCTGGGGGTAAACACTATATCTTGTTCATTGTTATACATCATATAGCATGTCATTCCTGGCACATCGTTAACCCTCATTAATACAGCTGGCAGCAGATTTTAGCATTCATCGTGTGTGACAGAGGCCCCTGTCTTTTTTCTCCTGGAGTCACACTCCTCACGTAGCAGGAGCAGACAGGAGACAGAAATACACCATCAGCTGGGAAAATAAAAGGAAATGAAAGAAAAAGGAGAAGGAAGACAAAGTAGGGAAGAACAAAAGTTAAAAAATGAGAGGAGAGAGATGGAGACACAAGTGGCGAAAGCAGCGTCCAATTCCTGAGCCCCCTTCCCCTGATTCCCAGCAGAGTTCAGCCAAGACTCAGTTTCTGAGCCAGTGTAGAATTTATTCTGTGTTTTCTATTTTCCTCTTTCAACACCTTTCCTGGAACCCCCTCATTCCTTACCCACTTGGATTTCTCAGTACTCTCAGCTAGAGTTTAAGGTATGAAGCCTCCAAAGGGCATTTTTTCAATACCAAGCCCTCCTGAGGCCCTGCCCATTTTTTTTCTGAACAACAGAGAAGAAATACATGTTAATATAGTGTAGTGACTAGGGGCATGGGCTCTGGAGTTAAGGCTTCCTCCCCATACCCGCAACCAGCTTTCACTCCTTTTCTTACCACTTGCAGTCTGGGATGGGACAGAGGACACTGTTCTGTTCAGGACGGACCTGAATAGATTTGCATAAAAGGAATTATCTGGCCACCTTCTCTTGCTGTGTTCCTTTGCAGGTGACAAACATTTTGCATACACAGTGACACATGGCCAAGTGGAGTGTAGTCCCTGTAGGTGAGAGATTTTCTTCAACAGAACTCCATTAATATAGAGAGACAAACTAAGCCAAATGTCTGAATGGAGCAATCACAGACTCACTTAAAATCAAATAACTTTTGGTTATGCAGAATTTAAAAATGTAAGTCAGTTTCTAGAGAGAAATATAAACTTATTTCTTAAAACAGAACTTTACCAGCTGGGCACGGTGGCTAATGCCTATAATCCCAGCACTTTGGGAGGCCGAGATGGGTGGATCAGGAGGTCAGGAGATCGAGACCATCCTGGCTGACAAGGTGAAACTCCGTCTCTACTAAAAATACAAAAAAATTAGCCGGGCGTGGTGACACACGCCTGTAGTCCCAGCTACTCAGGAGTCTGAGGCAGGAGAATCACTTGAGCCCGGGAGACAGAGGTTGCAGTGAGCCAAGATCACGCCACCGCACTCAAGCCTGGGTGACGGAGCAAGACTCCGCAAAAACAAACAAACAAACAAAAACTACCTTAGTCTCACATGACCTACTGCTATAGATAGAAGTCTCATTCCACTGCAAACTTCTTCCAAATGTCAGAATTTGTTTTACAGCATCCCTGAAAGAGAGCACTTCTGTGTGCTACTTACCTCGGAAGGCAGTCAAGCTCTTGCTGTTTCATTTTTAGAAAGATTAGAATATGTTAAGCCTGCCTGCAAATAATTTTTATATATTGGCTATAGCTCTGTGCTTTAGAGAAACACACAAATGTATAAACTGTGCTGTCTATGAGGTACCCTTGGGTTTTTGAAAACATCTGTCATGGACTCCCCTTAATTTTTGTTCTCCTCAGCTTAAATACCTTGGCCATTTAATCTGTTCCTGACAACAGATGATTTTTAGATTATGCAGTCTTTTTATTATCTTCTTGGATGATTGATAGTTCCCATCATAAAATTTGATATCCAGAATTGGATATTTCAGTATATTTTATAATTTAAAATATGAATTATAAAATTATAGTTATAAATTAGATGTATTTTTTCTCATCCACTATGGCAATCTGTAATAAATTATACTCTTAATTTGTCCTAAGACTGGAGTGATCTTTAAAAACAGGCACACCTTGACTCATATAGAATTACCAGATCTTTTTCACACAAAAACACATTTCTCTAGATTTGTACATTTAATTATTTGAATGTAATTGCAGGGCTTTACATTTGTTCTTGTTTAAATGTAATGGATTGAGGCCAGGAGTGGTGACTCACACCTGTAATCCCAGCAGTTTGGGAGGCTGAGGCGGGTGGATCACCTGAGGTCAGGGTTTCAAGACCAGCCTGGCCAACATGGTGAAACCCTGTCTCTACTAAAAATACAAAAAATTAGCCGGGCGTCATGGTACATACCTGTAGTCCTAGCTACTTGGGAAGCTGAGGCAGGAGAATCGCTTGAACCCAGGAGGTGGAGGTTGCAGTGAGCCAAGATCACGCCACTGCACTCCAGTCTGGACGACAGAGTGAGACTCCGTCTCAACAAATAA